GAAATGGCTGGGTGTTTTTTTTTTTTTTGTTTGGTTTTTTTTTTTTTTTTTTGGGGGGGGGCTTGTTTTTTAAAATTAGAGCCCAGTTAGCCACCAGGAGCCCTTCTTAGTAGGTGTCTTCTTTCTCTTGGTTCACAGCTTTATCCAATGATTTACTAATCAGACAGCATCCCATCGAGGAGACAGAAAGGAGGTCTGAGGAGCTGTATAAAACGACTTACAGACTCACATGGTGGGGATGGGTGAGGTGGGTGAGGGTAGATTACATAGGAGTTTATGGAGCTCGTGCTCTGAAGTCAGATGATTCGTGTTTAAATTTTGACTCCAACCAACCCTTATAAGCTGAAAACACTGGGCAAGACCCTTCATGTCCCCAGCCTCTTTTTGCTGTAAAATGGGATGATGAAAACATTTGCCCTGTGAAGTTGCTGTGGCGATAAAATAATTTAACTCATGCAAAACACCAAGCACAGAACATCTAGAGAACAAAGCTCGAATACAGGCATAGCTCGGAGATACTGTAGGTTCAGTTCCAGAACACCATAATAAAGCGAGTATCACAATAAAATGACTCGTAATCTTGTTTTCCTTCACTCTGTGAAAAACGAAACACCTGTGAAGCGCAATAAAGCGAAGAGCAATAAAACAAAGGTCTGCCGGTACAGTTTGTAGGGTTGTAGTGACAGTTGCAGAAATGATTTTCTGCACTCTTATTTACAGATGGGGGGACTGAGCCTACCCAGGGAAAGTTGCCCCAGATCACGTGGCAGGTTAGTGGAGGAAACAAGACTAGCACCTGGGGCAAACTAGTTAAAAATGTAGATGCTGATTAACACACAGGTGGTGAAAACTAAGTGCACAGGCGGGCTCTGTGGCTTTTGCGTTTCACCACTAGATGGCGCCCTTCCCCTATCTATGAGGAAAGTAGTCAGGAAATGGGAAGAAAAAAAATTAGAGCCCTTGCTGGTTTGGCTCAGTGGATAGTGTTGGCCTGTGAGCTGAAGGCTCCTGGGTTTGATTCTGGTCAAGGGTACATGTCTGGGTTTCGGGCTTGATCCCCAGTGTGGGGCGTGCAGAAGGCAGCCAATCAATGATTCTCTCTCATCATTGATGTTTCTATCTCTCCCTCTCCCCCTCTGAAATCAACAAAAAAAATTAGACAATTTTCTACCTCTTCCCTTATCCAGCAAAAATATCTAACAAAGGGCTATATATCCGCAGGTACTTAGTATATAATTGAGATGGAAAATGAGGTTCCATTTTATTATTAAACTAGAGGTGTGGTGCACAAATTCGTGCACAAGTGGGGTCCCTC